TATTTTATACTTTAAATTTGTTGTATAGTATATAGTCATTTATCTTAAAACATTCAATTAAAAAAAATATTTTGAAAAAGCTAGGGGGAGGCAAATGCCCCAGCTTGCACCCCCCTGCGGGCGCCTATGGTTACAAGTTACATCTTACGAGAAGTCTGCGAACGGATCTTAAAACCGTAGATGCCAGTATTGAAATAGTAATAATATACTATAAATTACAATAAACGATTGCACGATTATAATAATATTATGATTTATAATATGCAAGTAATATGTACAATTAACACAACAAAAATAATAACTAGGTACTCGCAAAATACGATTTTATTTTAATTCTAAATTTTAAATCTATATTCGGACATTCCTCATTTAGTTATATTCTCATATGACGGCATGACGCTCATGTACCTAGTCAAGAAGTAATAGGTATGATAATTAATATAATAATTTTACTCATGAATCATTTGATTTCCTATCATAATAATAAATAATAATATTATGAAATATATATTWATGGTAATAGGAATGATTTTATTGAGCGTAACGAATTAATAATGACTACGATAACGACTAACGAGACACGAGTAATATAGTTAACGCCGCACAGTGTCAGTTTTAGCGCATCGACTCAATTTCCGCTTACCTTTATTATAAAATTAGCAAATACAAACAATGTTGCATAATTTTACATGTATTGTTTTCCTTTGCCACCTAGTAAAGTATGTTATTGTTGAAGAAGCGGTACGCAACCGGATTGTAATTATTATGTTTATTGGACATAATAAATAATAATCACCGACTTAAAGTGATAAATGTAAATGATTAATAGGTATATAGGTACCGCACTTACCGCATTATGAAAAACTTATATTAACACAATATTATTATCGAGCAGCTATAAATTTAAAAAAAGATAGGTACATTTATTATGCTTAATTGTTTGTCAAGGATCCATATGCGTGATCAGTTATTTTGATTGGGGCGAGGGGCATATGACATTGATTCCCTAATATTCACCGACCATGTTATATACCGGTAAATATATTTTTATTGGTTTGTCACATATTTTGTATGATAAAAATAAACCAAGGGAGACACCCTCATTCCCCCTGTGAACACGCCTCTGTAAGTGTTTGTACTTAAATGTCCAAGTACAAAATACTGAGCTTTCAAACATTATAGGGAAAAGGTAACTTACCTACTAGCTATATCTTCATTAAAAATAAAAATACTAAAAATACGAGAATATGTTCATAATATAACAAAATATCAAGTCGTCCTTTTCTGGTTTAATAGTTATACGGGTATGCAAAAAATAATTAACCCAATTCCCATATATTTTATATAATTGAAAAAAAATATTATATAATAAAATAAATATTTGRTTTTTACATCAAACATTGCATAACAATAGGTAGGTTTCACACTTATACCAGTAATAAAATGTCCACGTAATATTTTCCTCCAATAACTGATTTTTTAACCTGTCATCAAAAGATAATTATCCATGGACCATTATATTTAGGTGCTTATTAACAATTGACCTAAATATTACTAACTATTTATTCTGAAATATTAAAACAACATATTAATTCTTAGTTATATTTCTTTTTGTTGTGGACATTTTAGGAATATACACGTCATTTATATTAACTGGAAATATATAAAATACTGTTAAATATTAACCATCCGCAGTGACAACAGTCAATTAGCTTTGTAATTATATATTCTTCGAAGAAATAAATAATATAGAATTTGATAAAAAATTCCTGTATTTTAAATAGTTATTCTACATTTCTACAGATTGCATAAATACTCATAAAAAGATATCGATATTGTAAAGTATAACATAATAAATACTGCAAATATAACAATTTCAATTAAAATCCTATCAAATAATAAAATATTAATTAAGCACAACTGCACAAGGACAATTTATTATAGATAATAATATATAGATAGATATGTATATTACATATGTATAGTAAAAATAGGTACTTACTATTCTCTATACACAAGTACAATTTATGTCAATGTTTAAAATTATAATTTGATAGGATTTAATCTAAAAAATAATAACGTAAATAAAAAAAAACAGTTGTTTGTTCTAACCGTGCATTGCTTTGGTATTAATTTAACAAGATAATTCTATTGGTTAAAATGTTTTAAATTTATAGATTTTTTTTAGAAGTTAGCCGTGGATAGGTTGATAGGTATATTATTGCAGTACGCATATTTTAGAAAAAAATTGAGATAATAGGTGTGCTAGTTGCTGTCCTAATATATTGAGGATAACTCAAAAACGTGAATTTTCTCGTAGTTAAGAGCTTCACTGATAAATTAGRTACTTGCATCATCAAAAAACCTCTATATAGATAGTAAGTAGTAGGTCATTTTTAAATTTTTTTCATATTAGATGACCTGCTGCAGGATATAACAAGACATATCGTAAATTTTAATAGAATTTAGGTTTACCCCCCTCCCCCCTGATAGTATGCCACTAGATGTTAGATGAATACACTTTATCAGTGCACTCGACACTCGTACTATAAGTTATACATCACTCATAAAATGATCCACAAACGTAAATTGTAAAAAATTAAACCTGCAGACGAATATAGCCTGTAGGATTTCTTTCAGTCCTTAGAAATATTTAGGGGTATGTTCTAATTGTACCTAAGTATATCTAAATGTAACATGTGTGGGGATTTGGATTTACTCACTACATTTTATAGTCATCAATCTTCATATTAATTATATAAAACTTGAAATATTAGAATCCTGTCACAACATATTTTAAAGTAATCTGAATTCATATATATATAGTACCAGCTACATAATATATATTTTTGGGCGTAAATACGGCCAATGTTGTAGATGTGTACTGTGTAGTGTGTTTCAACTAAGTTTCCTGTATTAGTGTTTACACAATATCACTAATATCAGTATAAAAACTAAAAAAATTTGAATGATTTAAAATATGAAATAAATTCTGAGCGGGACAGTTTTCCAGGGTGTTCAATTATTCAGACACATTTTACTACCTATATGTTAATCAAAATTCACATATCGTCACATTAGTTTATTATATACTTATACTATAWAGGTAGTCTATAATAGTTCTATACATATTATACTCTTTTCGGTATATTCTATTGCCTTTACATGTTTCATGTACCTATAGTTAAAATAATTTTCCTCGTGACCTTTTATAAAATCAATTTTGTATTTTAATTACATAACTAACTTTAGGTAGAGATCAGGGCCGTATTTAGGGGGGAACTACAGAGTACTGTTGCCCCGGGTGGATGAGTAGGAGAGGGTGGCTAATTTTTTTATAATTTAAATTTGTATTTTGTACAATGATTAATGAGGCGTATTTTTTTTTGTTGCCCCTTGGTGTCAAATTCCTTAATACGGCCCTGGTAGAGATACATATTATGATAATATAATAAAATATAGGTGAAATTCGGTCATTCGAAATAGCGTAGCTATAGGTAGCGTATATAATAATATTATTTGTAAATCGTATATATTGAGTTAGGGATGTTTGGATATAATATATTGAATATAGTGTAGACTGTAAACTGTATAGGATGTCAAAGAAAATGAACATACGCAACTTTATTTACTTAAATGTTTTTTCGATATAAATAAATAAATTTTAACTGTGTAACAATAGTACATGACTAACTGAATATCAGTATATAATTAAATATTTATATATTAATATATAATTGTAATATAGAATAGTAAGTTTTAAAATATTTTACATTATTAACACATAATAATTAATTTAAGATAACTCGAAACACGCATAAAAGTAGTTAACATATCGATATATTTGTGAGAATATACTCTTATTAAAAATTAGTTCGATCGTTATAATCTTATAATAATAGTTGTATGGGTATATTTGTGCTTTCTATTAGTTTTAGTAAACTTATCTTATATAATATCATCTAATATAATTATTACCAATAATGTTTAACGTTAGTTTCAAAATAATAATACATTTAATGTTTGAGTACATAGGATATTGTACCTATAGGTAAATACCAAATAARTTTTATTGATATAGGTACCTAAGTGGTAAGTCATATAACTTACTTAAAAATAAAAAATGATTACATGATTATTGTATAACTAGTAAAATKTTAAAGCATCGAATAAAATATAAGTAACATTTAGGTTTACAAATCCAAAATAGGTTCTACTCATCGCGTGTCCATAAAAATAATAATTTAGACAATTTTTAAATTATAGCAGACAACATGGATAAGTATATCATAAAAGTAAGATGGTACTAAGAATATTAATTAGGCAGCATATAATACGGTAAAAGCCAAAGGGTAGGTAATAGGTAATATATATGATAGATTTTATAGTTTATGAATTACTTATAAGTTATTATATATAGTTAAATATGGTACGGTATTCAAATTATATATAAGTACCTACAATATGACGTAAACAAGCTAAAAGTTTAATAACATTGTCTTAAAATTAACTATCTATACAAATGTAATAATATATATGGCTTATAAAACTAATTATTGTCTCGATTATAATAGTATCAAATTAATAATTTAATACTATTTAATGATATTATTGGAGTTAAATAAATTGCATTAACACTTAAGTTTAGAGAAGGTATTTATAATTGTTTTCTAAATATATTATTTTATTGCAAATAATTATTATTATAATATTCAGACCTTTGAATAAAAAAACAAAAACAATAAAACATTTTAAGGTAGGGTATATAATGCCTAAATAATTGGCTAACTAAAAAAAAWAAMTATATATTTAAATAACAAAATGATAATAAAGTAATAACATTGCAAATTGTTAACGATTTTTTACCTAGTTATATTATTAATAATTGGAAATATAATAACAACGATTATTATTTTTTCAACTAACTCATATTGAGTTCATAATAATTACGAAAAGTTGTTTTCATTATGCCATAATTTCAATTGAAACAATTTTAAAAATTGTACAGAATAACAAAAATTTCAAATTGGAAAGCCAAATGTCGCATATACCTCATAAAATGTAATGGAACAATATATAATTATACGTTYATATAACTCACTAATCTAAATTATTGTGCGATTAAAAATAACATAACTTTTGTTTAACTTATGGCCCGGCCAAAAATAAAACTAAAAAATATGGAAACAGCGTGTTATCATAAAATWATATCGTTGCATAAGTTTTCTAATATGTTCAATTAAAAATAATTATTCCAGATAATATCAGCATTAATCCCAGAAAACGCGTATACGCAATTGAAGTATAATAGCTTAATGTATTATACCTAATAAGTAATATTATATATTTTCTTTACAATATATTACTTATACAAAAAATCACAGGATGCTGAACTGTCATGCACGACAGGAGAATAACGTTATTTTGAACGAAAAATACAAAATGAACTTATTTAAAACCGAAATAAATTAATAAATTATATGTAACCTATTATTCAAATACTTTTTATAAAATAACATTAATAGTCGGTCAAGCAGCTGGGTGGATTCATAGTACCATTCATTTCGTATAAACTAGCTATTGCGATGAAAATCAAATACCACAACATTAGTACAGCTCCAAATTTTCTATCCAATTTCCATCCATTCATGTGCGTTGCCACCAACAAAAATACTACGGTCGATAGGAGAGTTAATGTGCAATAGGTTAAACCTGTAACAATAATAATAACATAATATCATACCTAGGTATGCGAAGTTTTCATAAAGGTTAGATTGTGCATCATTATTTTTTATACACATTGAAAATGAATTGTAGTATAATAAACGTATACCTAATTAAATGTCTAATGATTTTAATAAATAAATATTATATTAATGATTAATTATGTTAATGACAATAGTGTAAATGGAATTTCACTTACCTTTGCTATATACTTTTACAGTGCTTCCTGGATTAAATACAGCAGTTTGCAAAAACCACGGGAGTCCTAGGCATACTAATATGTCAAATACGTTACTTCCGATTGCGTTAGATASGGCCATGTCACCGTAACCTAAAATCAAAKTTGACAATAATGTGATTATGAAGCTTGATTTCAAAGCATATAATTATGAAGAATATTACATTTTGTTATTCAATACAGGTAAATTTATATGTTAATAGGTACTTAAATAGTGACTGTATAGAAACATGTATTTTGTATATAGGTATTTATAGACCTGCAGTTATCCTAAGAAAAATAAATATAGTTTCAGCATTTGGTTTTTAATTTTGGAAACTAGTTTAAATTTGTAAGCCTCCTACTATAATATATAACTAGGTTCCTATAGGAAATTTATTTTAATTTGGTATTGTTTATAGTAGTTTCGGAGCAAAATATATAATTTAGCTGTACATATTTTGTACTTGGATCATGCGTGGTTGTCAGGCTTTAGATGTATCTAAGAATTGTTTGCCTRGATATTAAAATATTGTTACATGATGAACCTAAAACTATTAACTATAATATGGYGAATTTACACTAGTATAGCACCTCATTATAAAGTATAACCTTAAAAGTATTATATTAAAAAATTTATTTAATTTTATATAAAATATTAACAAACGTTTGACGTTTAACAATTTCATTTTAGTTACATAACTACCTATATATTTTTAAATTTTAAACCTTACCTTCTTTAACTACTGAAAGACTTGATAGAGCATCTGGAACACTAACTCCAGCAGCAACAAAAGTTAGTCCCATGACTGTGTCTGGTATACCAAGTGTATTACCTGAGAGTTAAATTTAGTTAAATGAACGAGTACATACGACTATACGGTAATATACAGTGTGATCACGATAAGTGGAAACACTCAATAAGTATGTGCAGGCTTCATATATTTCAATTCTGCTTTTTCGGCTAACTAATAAACATTATTATACACATTTTCAAATAATTAGACTATTTTTTTGACACTTAA